CGACAGCGAGGCATAATTGGAGCTGTAATGCAGAAAATTCTAGAGGACCATAAATTGTCCAAATTAAAGATTCTTTTCTTTCTTAACTCCATAGTTTCTTCTTTCTTATTCCTATTTTCTGTAGCACACCCTTTTCTTTTCGATTGTTCTAATCAAGGTACCACTTAGTTATGCATTCTTCCCATCCTCGGGAATTAACGTAATTATTATTGTTTTTATGTGCCGGTGTACCTATAGGGCTTGCATATTGTTTTAACAAGAGACTATTAGCAGGGTGGCTGCGAATATAATGCAGAGGAAAAAATTATGCACTCACTATTAAGCTTAATTTTCACACACACATACACACTGCCAAGGCAATTAGCCTAGCACTGAAGCCTTTGTTAAAAATTCCAAATGTTTTTCTTTTGACAATAAAAAAAGAAACAAAAGAAGACAACAGTATTTTCTATTTGTAGATTCATACAGACAAATGAAATAGAGTTGGCTTTTAAAGCATAAGGCAAAAGCTGAGGCATTTTCAAAAAACAGCAGCTCCCTTTGCTTGGTTCGTTGTTTTGCTTGTGAACAGACAAGCTGTTGTCTTTCATAAGGTGAGAACAAACTGCTGAAAGGGAAAAAATAAAATAATCCCTCACAATAAAATGAGAAATCTCTTGGCAGAATCCACCACCAATAATAATTTAAAGCCCAAGGGAGATTGAGTGAAAGATCTCTTTAGTCAATAACGGTTGGTTCACTGTTAGACTGATAGTTGGAAACAATCCACAAAGCTTCTGGGGTTTGAAGTTTGCTGTCCACATTTATTGTTTGCCTCGAGGAAGCAATGGACAACTTTTTCATTTTACTGGCAAAGAGGAAACCAAAGGCCTCTGAGTTTAAGAACTCATATGCATAGATATGGGTTTTATAAAAGTAGGCATGGGGTGGAGAATGTGAGTCATTCTTTTTCTGCTTACCCCTCTCCCATCGCACTAGAACTCATTAGTGATAGAAATTGATGGGCGGTAGGTGCAAGACAGAGAGAGGAATTTAACACACTCTAACATTCATTTATGGAATTCATTGCCACTCAGGAAGATTAGATTGCTTTAAAAAGATATTAGATTCGGCAGGAAAAAAAAATGTCAAAAGCCAAGTCTGAGTCTTTTTAGAAAACCAACATTTTCCAGTCAATTCACTTCATAGAACAAGTTAACTTGAGGACAAAGGGAGAAGAATCTTGCTTTTGTAAATATAGTTGAGACTTTTAAGTGGGTATTTGAAGCACTAGTTTCCACAAAACAATCAAACTTCACTTTTAGCCACAGTAAACTACAGCTGGTTGTTTGATCATGTTGATCCATATACATGATGGTTGATTTCACACAAAATATGAAATTCAGAGAAGTCCATATTGTTTATAGAAATTCAACAACATGACTTAATATTAAGATAGAATATTATTGCATTATTACTATTTGTTTCTTAATATTTATTTTTATTGCATTTATTACTGGACCGTGAACCACCAAGAGATGATTGCAAATGAGGCAGTGTACAGTCTTATAAATAAAACAAAAACAAATCACCATATTACTTAGCATAATATGCAAACCACAGAAACAGAATGCTAGATGAAATTAAACTGGTCCAGTCTTAATGAGGATCTCCTTAAATGTGTGATTATTTCCTATAAAAGAAATATAACATTTCCTAAAAAAAATTTCATTTGGAATAGCCAGCTTAAAATAAGAGCATCTCTATTGGCCATAAGAACAAAACTCCATATTGTGGCAACATTTTTATGAGGACAACTAAAATGTGTAATATAATGAGTGAATAAAAATGGGGAAGAACCTATTGTTGATATTCAAAGCAGAGTCTGAGGCAGATCAAAAACTCAAAGTGGTAACCACAACGAAGTGCCTTCCTACTCATATGTTGCTTCGATCCCGGTGTTTGGCCCATGACTGTATATTTTAATATACTAATTTCCAATCACACCTTTCACCTTTTCTTGACAATTTTTTTTTATTCCCTTGCAATGGCTAGCCTCTGTTGTAGTATCCTTCTATTTTCCTATTTCTGACTTGCCTATTCCTATATTTTAAATTTCCTACTTTTAAAATGATGACTCGACTTTGTTTGAGACACTGCATGGAGGGAAATAGAATTATAAAACTTTGGCTAGTCAATTGGCTACAGAAATTCAGTTCTGAGCTATCTAAGTCATCTTGGTTACTGGTGATATATGCAGGGATTTAAGGTTTAGAATATTTATAGGCTCCTCATTCCTTGTATATTGTAAGCTTTTTATATGCCAAATGACAATTTATATTTTCATGATATGCCTATGTGATTAACTTAGCCAGTGTTAATACTGGTACACTTTGCTCAGCTCATTGGGGCTGAAATATATCACAAAACACAACCAAAATAGCCTGGCATATAAAAGTTTAGGCAGTAATACATGTTAGGCTCTAAAGTTCCATGGATACCAGTGTTTTCACTAGACCTCCAAAAATACCACAGATCACAGATATAATTGCATTCAAATTCTACTTCAAGACATTTTTCTTTAGCCAACAAAACTGCCATATATTTGTCAAAATAGGCTTGCTCTCTCTCTCTCTTTTTAAAGCAGGCTTTTAAAAAATAACTAGAACTGAAATTAAGATTCCATTTATATTCATATTTGTTTCTGAACTGCCAAAGATCAAATCTGTGGACACCCACAGGGTTGATATTTTTGACAACACAAACTGCAAATGTAATATAAAGATTTGTTGGATTCTAATTTCTAATTACAAAATAAAAACCTGAAATCTGAGTTCAGTATATTCTCTTGGGGAACCATACTTTAGGCAGAATTAGAAAAGATGAAAACTATTTTTACCAAACACAGTAGACTGGTTGGAAGAAAAGTGCCTTGAGTTTCCCTAAAGAATAGAAAGAACATTGCTTATCATCTTTGGACTTACAAGGAGCTCAAATGGCAAGTGGCTTGTTTGTTTGTTTGTTAGGTAAACAAATAAATAAGGAGTTAATTTATGCTTTACATAAATAAACCCTCCTTTTGTTGTGGGATTCAGCTCTCCCAACTGTTCATCTGGCTCACACCACTCCACAGTAGCACTAGGACAACACAAGCCATACACTGAGAACTGCAACTTGGCTTTTGAAGGCAGACAGGAAGGGCATTGGTGGGAGGTTTATGAATAGTTTGCTGCAGCCTGATCCTGTCATGGCCAGATGGCTTCAGATGTAACAATTACTGCTTAATTTTTTAAAAAGGTACTGAATATTAAATCTTAAGTTGATAAATTAAGCTTGAGGGTAAAAAATACTACCACCAAATAGCTATCCCTCTTCAAGGTATTTTTGAATACCATTTAAAGGTATTCTGCAATAGCCAAAATTTTGCAGTGGGCTGCTAGACAATTTGCTTTGGCCATAAAGGCATATCCTTCATCATCCACAGATATACTGGCCCCTTTTGATGAGGCTCCAAGGCCAATGATGGGCAAGATGATTAGATAAACATTTCCACATGTGGATCAAAGGTAATGGCTAGAGCATTATTTTTGTAGTTTTAAGGTTGGGATGAGCTCCAGATATTTGGACTGCAACTCGCTCATCCCTCAGCACCATAGCTATTCACTGAGTGTAATTAACACTGAGTCAGAAATTGCCAGAATATGCTTTTATTGTTCACTTATCCTTGAATATATAAGAATCTCCTTTCAAAATTTATTCCGATGTTCTTGAACTTATTTATGGCTGGAGCTATTACTTCAAGTATTGTTGCTTTGTCAACTTTCCAACATTTGGAAACCTGCTTGCTCGCCTATACTTCTCAATCTGAAAATTGCCTCAAAATGTATTCTCATAATATTTAATTCGAACATGGAAAGCCAAAGAGCCTATGAACTATCAGAGAGGTGAGGTGACTGAATAAAGTGAAATATAGTATTTGCACAGCTCTTGTGTCACTTTATAACTTAAGTGCAGCAATGCCACACACTATATATAAAAAATTCTCCCAAAGTACCTTCTCTTTTTAGAGACACCTCAAAGTAAAATTTTATCAAAATTAAGCAGTATTAACAGAGAAGTTTTATCTGTAACACAAGCACAGGACGACACTGGTTTGCAAATCTATTAGAGTACATACATTATTCAAAGAATTCAAATATTTTTTTACTTGCTTTGTTGAACATTTAAATATTGATCTGGAGTTGTCCATGAGCAATTCCTAAGCAGCTCCCTGAAATATAAAGTTGCCCAGATAGATGTTCCCAGAATTACTGTAGTTCTCCAACTTTGGATGCATTTTCCCCCAAGAGCTCAAAGTAATGTCACTTCTGTAAATATATCTCAAGGGTGAGATATTTTGTGATTAGAAGTAATAAATAGTTTACAGGAATTAACTTGTTTTTGAATAATATATTAAATATATGTAATATATTAACTTGTTTTTGAATAATATATTAAATATATGTATATATTCCTTCAGGGATATGGAAGTTCTAATTTTGGCTGCATATCTTTTTATCCTGGTTTGTCAGTATTCCACTGAAATCATATCCTCTTCTGCAAGTCCCATTACTCCATCTGTTTAAAGGAAAGGTCCAAGGGCAGAATCAAAAAGTCAGGATGATTTCTGTTTGTTCAGCATGACTCTTTCACAATGGTACTTTTATCTCTGAAGACAATATAGGAAATGTTGGCCTCATATGATCTCACGGAGAAAGGGAGAGATTAGGCTGAACTGACCTTATTCTTAAACCTCCCATTCCTGATACTTATCTGCTAGGTTAGCAGATGGGTGGTGCCACACTTTCTCGACTGATTGAAGAGGGATGAAAGCCAATATGGGAAGGTACCAAATTTGGGGAGGTTGCACTCTACAGATGTAATACCCAAAGCTCACTTTACCAGGAGTTAAGAGTTACTTATCACTGCATGTTCCTAAGATCAAGTCATCAAATGCCATCTTCCAGATGACCTTACCAACTTGCTGTTTTGATATATTTATTTTGCATTTGGCTATTTGTATAATCTTGGGTTGCTTTTTGATATTCTCCATGTCATTTAGGGAAGTTTGATTATGGATTGAACAGAAACTGAGTATAAATAAATATATACAATGTGATCTAACTTATATCTTCATATCACTTCCCTCTCCCTTGCAATAAAAGCATATCATGTATGTTAACACTCAGGACATAAAATATCTGCCAATAGTCATACAGTATACAATAACTACTCAAAATCTGTCCTTTTGCCATATGAAAATCCATCTTTATCTATTGCCAGAATTGAGCCAGAGCCACACTAATTTTTTAGTGTCCCATATCTGTTCATAGCTGAAATGAATAACATCCAATCCTTAGACAATACAATTTTAAAGATGGCTTTAAACATGATTAAGCTTCTTGGAAAAGATCCATTTAATTTTTTTTTACTGAGGTCTGGGTGGTACAGATAGATTCGATGCACTTTGATCAATATTAAAGCTATTGTCTGTTTTAAGCGATTTTCTATTTCTTTCTTAGTAACAGTTCTAGTATGAATAACAAAACCTAAGAACAATAGGGTATTTTATGTATAAGCACAATCATATATAAATACAAGTTATGCTATTGTTCTGATAATATGATGGCATAACTCTGGACAATTCTTAGCCTCCAACATCCTATTCACTATTTTTTACATTTTCTTTCATGCTTTGAGAATTGTGAATAAATGCCTTAAATCTGGAACATCCTTTAATAAAACCACTTGTTTTTGCCATTTTGTTTGGGGTTTCATGGAACAGGTGTACTAAATCTCTGCAATGTTTAAATTTTAATTGCACTCCTTAAAATTGCTGAACATCTCTTAATAGATATTCATTCTTCAACAGCTAGTTCTGACAATTCTGGGGGGGGGGGAGCATTTGTAGAGAACAATGCATACCAGGTTCCCTTTATTTTACACTAAGTAAAAACAAAGAAAGTTTTCCAAGTCCTTCCCTGTGGCAAATTTCTTATAGATGAACTTATGGGCCAGACAGAACACAGGTCCAAGGAAAATGGAACATTTGAAAAGCCTAAGTACATTCTGAAATCAGTGAATCTTTATTAGAAATATTCTTTTTGTATGTGCCACTTGGGTAGTAGGTAATTTCAGCTCTTATTTTTCTGTATGCTCCCTTAGAATATAGCTGGAATAAGCCATTTAGATCGCAGAATCTCATTCTCTATCCAGCATCAGTAACAGATGGTGACCAGTCTCTGCTTGAAAATGAGTCCACTATCTCCTAATGTAATTGGCTCTATTGCCAGACTGCTCTGATTGGACCTTTCTCCCTCTCCTGAGAGCAATCATGTTTTTGTCTTAATTGTATGTTATAATCTCGGCATCTAAAGTGCAGCATTCATAAGAAACATTCTACTTCATGAGGAATATTCTACTAGATTGTTTTGTTGATTGATTTGGGATTATTAATCAGGACATGGCTTTGTTGCTTATTTTGTTTACTAAAAATGTTTTAACTCTAAATGATGCCCCCTCCAATTCAGTGTTTGTTGCTACATGTATCTTCCCCTGGTACTTGCACAATGCATCCCATCAAGTCTTATTCCTGGTTAGAACACACAAAAACATCTCATGCTGTGAATTAACAGAAAAAAGAGTTCAGAACAGAGCAAAGAATCAGCGTGAGAGAGCTAAAATAGCAGCAGACTTACTTAAGCTTTGACTGCTTTGCTTCCTAGTGTATTTTGTTAATTTTTATGATGGCCAGTTAGACTACAGCAGAACTGAGAAAACATTATACATTATTCTGGCTTGTAATTTAACTGTTTTGTTTTATGTCATGGGGCATTTTTTGGATATAGAAAAATAAGAAGTCTAGAGTTATTTTTCCCCCTTCCCTGATTCTATCAATTAACACTCTTTCTTGATAGACAAGCTCCCGCCAGAACAGAAATTAAGTGGTATTAATGAATCGATGGATGTTTAGTAGGATAAAACAATTCCTCCTCCTGTTTTAAATTGTCATCAAATCCCTGCCTGAGATCATCTTAGCTTTTTCTGATTGAGAAACGGACTTATGTTAGAGAAACAAATATGGATTCAAAAGTTTGTTTTTGGCTGTAGGATAAAACAATTCCTCCTCCTGTTTTAAATTGTCATCAAATCCCTGCTTGAGATCATCTTAGCTTTTTCTGATTGAGAAACGGACTTATGTTAGAGAAACAAATATGGATTCAAAAGTTTTGTTTTTGGCTGTTTTCTAGACTATACTTCTATTATCCTAGGCTCCTGTACCTTTATTAAATGAGATGGGCTCCATCACTCTCCCTGATTAAAATGCGCCTCTTCGCTTGAAGTCACAGAAATATAATTTCCCTTTCTTGCTTGGAAGAAGTCTCCTAAACTACTGAGGATGCGCATTCTTGGTCTTCTTTCCTCTGGGGAAGAAAAGGGCACACAGGTCCCTGAAGAGGTTGCCTTTCTTGCCCTTGAGCCTTTGGCTTCCCCAGGGAGGCGATTGCCAAAACCAGTCTCGCTTTCCAGTCAAATGCCTCCCTGAAGAGAAGGCAAGGCTGGTGATGTCAAAGTCCGTTTAACTTCTGGCAAGAATGTCTGCATCTTCCAAGTAGAAGCTGAAGCAAGAGACTCCCTGAGCAGTTATAGCTGCTCTTGGAAATCCAATGGGGATGCAATCTTTGTCAAGTAACAGCAAACCTTTTGGTAAACAACCCAGCTTCTTTTTTTGGAGTAATTACAGCAACCCTTTTATTCATACCTAGAGAAGCAGATGTGATGCATTGCTAACAAATCTTGCTCTCTAATTCAAAATGCTGTTTAAGCAGGGAAATTGGGCTAACTGGAATGTTGCTGAACGCGAGTAGTGCAAGCCTAATGGATAAGGCCTCAAGCAAATTTAAAATCTTAAAAATTGCTGTGATACATAAAGTTTCCTTTCTTCTTCAAGGTCAAATGCAACGATTCTATGTTAATCTGCCTCTTAAAATGGAAGGTCCATATTGTAGTCTAAAATGTTAGCCAAAGATACACAATTTGTCCTCTACAAGTGGCCCTCCTCTTCTCTCCATAGGTTGCTGTACTACAATTCCCTTCAGCTCTAATCGGCATGGGAAGCAGGTCTCTGTCTCACAACAGGCAGAAGCCATTAACTATTCCTTGAAATGCTAACAAGGGCAATTCTATTTAGAAAGATACCAGTAAAAATAGTATTATAACTGGTTACTAAAGTCAGTTTTTCCAAAGGCATCTTTGCTGTGCGTGTGTTGATCATGTGACAATTACTTTAGGTGTCTTTTTTTAATATTGTGCAAAGGAAGTTGAAAATTCCCACCTGAGTCACCACCAAGTATCATTTTTTAATCTTTCTTTTTTGCTGAGAAAGAGTAAACAGTATGGAGCTATGGATTTATGTTTTTTTTTAAATGAAACATCCCCAAACCCCTACCACACTGCAGGATAGATCAATATTATCCTCCTCCAGTTCACAACAGGAATGATCGAAGGGCAAAAACAAAACAAAAAACAAAAAAAAAAACCCACTGTTGGAAGCAAGACTTTGCACAGGTTTCCAGTGTCTTAATCCACCTCTTTAATACTTGTCCACTAATAAGGATGATCATTTCACTCCTGATTCCGGCATGGGCTACCAGTTCATCCTAAGTTAACTTCAAACTGTTCTTCTTGGTATTTTCTAACTCAAGAATCTCCTTTCTCTATATACTTCTGCTTGTTAGTATATAGATCACTTGCTCATTAACTTCCTTCCTGGCTTGTTCTGTTTCATGATTAAGACTCCTCTGTTTTCACCTTCTGGAAAACTTCTGCCAGATATAGGACCATTAACTGGCACAGTTCTCTATTAAGGCAGCTTAAAATTGAAACAGTTCTACCTGAAGGACTGTCCCATTTATCTGAACATAAAGGTGTCAGAACACTGGGCTCTACTTTCACAAGAGTTACCCTCTATTTCATTTTATAAGGCAACCAGAGCTTCTCAAAGGAAATGGACATTTTCTAAAAGTAAAGTCGAGGGAAGAGTGGAACCAAAACTTAAAACAAAGCCACTGATAAAATAAAAAGAGAGATAACAAAAGGAAAGAAAAATTCAAAGCTTTGTACAAAATATTTTGAACACAGATTAGTTGGGACCAAAAGGCTAATTAAAGAGTCTAGTGCTGGGGTCTGCAACATTAAACACTCAAAGAGCCATTTGGACCCATTTCCCACAGAAAACACAAATAATTTAACAACCAGTATGACTGGGTGAGTATGGCCAACTTGACATCACTCACTCCCACCCAGTCACATGACACACACACCCCCGCCATGCCTACCCAGCTGGTCATTAGGGCAGAGAACCGGTTGTTCAATTATTTGCCCCACCTCCCCCCTCCCCTCCCCCTCTTGCCACAACTGCCCTCGGGTGTGTTCTTCACCTTTCTCTCTGTGTCTGTGTCTGTGTCTGTGTCTGTCTCTCCCTGTGCCTCTTGTCTCTCTGATTCGGATTCTCCAGTTCCGCATCTCTATCTGGGTCTCACTGCCCCATAGACTGCAGCAGGAAACAGTGGGTGGCTATTTCCGGCCTTGTTGGTGCTGGACGCACCTTGGTCACTCAGGGAGATGCGTGACCTGCTCTCTGCCCTGAGACACTGGTCCAACCACATCGTGGCCAACACTGCTGCTATTGCTAGGGGCAAATGGGCAGGGTCACATTGTGGCTCTGTGTCATAATGGGCTTCAGGAGGAGAAGGGGACCCTGTCTCCCCCATTGTGAAGTGGGCTAAATTTCATTGTGCTGTGCAAAGCGCTGTGAGAGCAATAGGCAGGCCATGGAGGTGGCAACAGCAGTATAGCAGTGGCTGGGTCCGTCCAGTGTCTCAAGGTGGAGAGCAGGTCGCATATTTCCCTAAGTGACCGAGATATACCCAGTATCAACAGCGGCCAGAAGAAGCATCCACGACACCCAGCAAGAGATGAGGCACTGGAGAATCAACCGCAACCACTTCTCCCCACAGCAGGGAGAAGAAACGAGGGAGCCACAGCAGAGGAATAAAAGAGCTACATGCAGCTCTGGAGCCGCGGGTTGCCAACCCCTGGTCTAGTGAAAGCAAAGCCTGTTCACCAACTATAAAAAGTTTAATTAGGTTGAAAAGGAAGACTGAAAACTGAAGTTGGTGAGTGCAGACATCAAATGGGAAAAATAAAAGAGGTCCTAAAAAGGAGCAAATTTAAAATTCTGTTTAGATCCTCCTTATCACTTTGCCAACTAGGTGGCAGTATCTAACTGGCTGAAAAGCTAGGAAGATTAAATCTGGTCAGTATTTGTGTGGAAGACCATCATAAAGCCAAAGATTGTGCAAAAGACTGAAAAAAATCTAGAAACCATCTCTGTAACAGAGGAATATTTTACCTTTACTTCATTGCTCTAGTGAGGCAAAGCAACATTAGAGAAAAGGACTTTGAGGACATGTCCAAAAAAGTGATGCATCAACTGCACTCTCATTTGTGTAAAATGCAGATCTTATGTTTATCAAGAGTAAATTGTTATAATTAAATTGGGGAAGTGTTTCTCCATACCATATTATTTCTCTGTTTTTCTTTAGGATTTTTCCTCAGGCTTAGAGATAAAATGAGGATCCCATAGGACAAATTCCATCCATCCCAAGTGTCTGCAGTATTTCTACTTAAGGTACTGATAGGCTGAGAGATTCAGATACTTATCTCTTGAGCCAATTTCCTTTGTAGAAAAGGAAAAAGAGAAAAATACAAGAAAACACTGAAAAACTAATACCTGCCTTCATGGCCCCAGAGAGGGCAACTCTCAGAGCAAGATCTTACCAAAGTATTAAACCAATGCCTTAGTATCTGCTGCTATCATCCCTGGATGTAAAATGTTTGCATCAATAAAAAGACCCAAAGAACTAAATCTGAACTTGGAGAAAATATGTTTTTAAAAAATAAAATAAAACCCATGAAGACAAGACATAGCAATGCACAGTACAAAAGAGTAATTATACCCCGCCCCCCACCAAAAGAAAACTCAAAAGGAGAAAAAGAGCTTTTCCACAATTTTGGAACATTTTACCTGTAACAGAAAATGGGCTTAAAATGAAACAGGACCAAATTTTCTACAAACCAGTAAATGAATACAAATACTCAGTTGTTTTTAGCAACCCAGAACAAGAAACTTTTGACATAAGTATTGATGAACAATTAAATTTCTTTAAAAAAACAGAACAAAAAATATTTGTATATGGAGGAAGAATCACGGGAATTCAGAACAAAAAAAATTAAGCAGGGAAAAAGAGAAGAACAAAGCTCCCACAATATCTAAACAATTAACCATTGTTCTTGGATATCCCATTCCAAGTGAAGAGGAACCACAATGGTTCCTGAAAACTGATAATGGCTGTCTCCATCCTACCCCCGTCTTCCAGAAAGTGTATCCTGGAGCAGTCCCTTTATCAGCATTTTTAAGAAGCTGTCATTTTGACAAGATTATTCATCTGCTTCTTTTTTCCCATCCCAATTCATGTACAAGACATAGCAATCGTCTCATCATGGTTGGACGGTAAATGCAAAAATCTCAGTAGGGTCAGAAGGTCTGTCCTTTTTTCAAAAATCTTTCAACAGAAATTCCACCAATGCTTCCTTTTATGGGATTTGGTTTGCCACGGCCAACTCATTTCCCCCATTCCCCAATTGATTTCCCAAATAAAAGAAAATGTCTTCTTTGCTCCAACCATGCCAATTTCTTCTGTGCTGTCAGATGAAGAAGCCTCTTGTTGGTTTTTTCACTTTAAATTCCATTTAAGATTGGGGAATCATATGCCTGGTCAATTTTTAAGTTCTTGACTCAGCCATTCAAAGGAAAACACACAGAAAATGCAGCAACAGAGGTTGAACAATCCCCTTTCCCAAAGCATATCCCTCCCGTTTGCCCCAAAGTTGACTTGGTATTGTGTTTTGTTTTGTTTAGAAGTCTGCATGTTCCAAAATACTCTTCCTCCCAACCCACCCTGACCCACCCAAAACAAAATAAAAAGCTCCATGGGTTGCATCATCTACCTGATGATCAAGTTTTGAGAAGCAACTGCTTCTGTTGCTACTTCAATTATTTTTAAAAGAAAAATACAGACAGAGGGTTGTGCAGTGGGGAACCCAGCCTTAGGATTGCTTCAGCCGTTTGCGTGGGGGTCCCAGAAAGGGGCACTGCGCAGAGGCCAGTGAACGATATGCCTCTGCTACCAAATGAGGGTGAGATACTACCATCGACTTCCAGCCTGCAGTCTCCATGACATCAGAAGCATGGCTGAAAATAATAACGAAGAATTCAAGATTACCAGATTGAAAAATGTTAATGAAAATCAACTATCTCTCAGCTACATATTACCTATCTGAAAATGTCTCTCAACACAAGAAACTGTATTTGTCACTGTGCACCTTTGGACATGATTTTTAATAAAGATGTCTCTATTCCTGTATGACTATTTTGATGCATATTTATTTATTTATTTATTACATTTTTATGGCCATCCAACTCAAATATTTGTGACTCTGGCATACAATAAAGCAAGGTAAACCAAAAAGACAAATAATCCCAGTTAAAATTAGTATTACTGCAGCTGCCATCTTCCTTGGAAAAAACAGTTGAGTAAACTTTCCTTTCCAAAAAGGAGCTTCATCTATATGTGCAGTAAAGCTGTTGTATGATAAATCCTGGGAGCTGCAGCTCTAACACAACTGGACAGAACCATCTTGAGGAATGCTGTAGTAAGAATCTGTTTATTCAAGAGAAGAACAAACATTCGAACAGCTGCTGGCTATTTGCCATCTCTCCAGAGTTGATGACAACGTTTTAGGGTAGGAACAAATCTTGACACAGAACTTTTAGTTCTAGTTAGACACAACCCTTTCCCCTGGTATCCTGCAGAGGATCTGAATGCAGATTTCATCATCCCCAATCAATTTTGCTATGCTGAGAAGCACAAGAGAATTCTAAGATATCTCTAGGGTGCAGATTCTGGAAAGATATCCTAACTTAAAAAAAGAAAAAAGGGTTAAAGGTTTCCCCTGTCCAGTTGTGACCAGCTCAAAGGGGCGGTGCTCATCTCCAATTCTCAGCCAAGGGAGCCTGGTGGTCTGGGAAAAGCTTCCGTCATCATGTGTCTGCATGAAAGTACGGAACGCAGTAACCTTTTCCACTGAAGTGGTACGTATTTATCTACTCACATTTGCATGCTTTCGAACTGCTAGGTTGGCAGGAGCTGGTGCGAGTCATGGGAGCTCACCCCATTGCATGGTGCTCAGGTCTTGAACCCAGGCTATCAGACAAGCCCAGTGTCATCACCACTGAGCCATCACTCCACCCATCCTAATTTAAGTAAAATGCCAAACTTTGCTTTGAAGATTGTTCTTCCTAGATTTAGTTCACTAGAGTCAAAAAAGAAAGCCCACTTACTAGTTTATGAAGTCAACTGCCTGAGTTTTTAGCTGGTCAGCACTGTGTAGATCAGCCAGAATTAGGATCTCTGCTGCATTCTCCACTGACAAATTGCTGCACAAAGCATCCTCACACATCACTTTCAAACGTTCCAAAGCATACTGCAAAAGATTAAAAAAGAAAATAAAAAAGAATGGTTTCTCATAACTTTCTGGCAACATGAAACACCATCAGAATCCAGGCCACAAAGCATAGTGAATTGGATAATCATGCTTACAATATAAGGAGTGTAAATATATGTGGATTTAAATGGGGCTTCAGTGAACATCCATTTGGAGTTAATCCCACACCACATTATAAAATAAGAATCTCTAAGAACTAACACAAGCACAATCATACATGAATGCTGGGTATCAGTCAATGTTGCTTAAAAAAATGAGAAATGATATTTCTTAAATATGCATGCTTGCATGTGAACCTATATTAGTTCTAAATAGGTAACATAGCATCTCAGCATCTCTTCCCATCCTCCCCATAAACATTGGAAAGACAAAAGTGAACTCTCTAATCACATCTTCACCCAAGAGCCCAATGGCAGGTCTCTAGAGTTTCAGATAGGCATTGCATTTTGTTTATAGAATAATTACGTATTTTTCCCAAGAGATTGGAGGAAGACAGAACAAACTGTTCCATAACCTCTTGGGCAAGTATTAAGAGGTTTTATGTGCTGCCATAAAAGGTTTTGCTTTCTGTTTTCAAAAAGACATCCAGAGATGTTTAGAAAAAAGAACTATGCAAAACCTCTTCAACAATTAAAGCCCCATTCAGTACCACCACTCTACCCGTGTTATGTAAGTGTTGCTGCAGCTAAATGGGTGTTAAACATATTTATTACTGAACCATGCTGGAAAAACAAAATATGGCTTGGATTTCCAGAGGTGTTTTTTTTTGTTTTTTTTACTGTTTACTGGATAAAAGCTACACAAATACTTCATGTTTCTGGAAACTTATCCTTCTCAGCTACATTGCCATATCTCTGCTTCTAGCTCTATTCCCACAGCTTGGCTACTTCCTGGTGTGCTGGGATGCAATTAAGTATAGAAGTTGGAAATTCAGGGAGAGTATTAGATTGGAGGCAGATGGCCAATGTGGAGCTTGATCGGAACAATTTTAAACTATTCATGGAAGTATGCACAAAGAAAGAGAAATATAGCTTGGTTTCACTGATATCCACCAATTTAATATTACATCAGAATATTATGCTATGTGAAAAAATGGTAAGTGGTTGCAGACCAACACAGATAATTTGGGGGTTAGAATGTGCTGTGATATAAATTTTTCATCCTTTTTTTATCTGGTTTACTCTGCCTATGCTATCCTCTCTGACAATAGATTTATGGGTCACTACATTCTACTTAAATATGGCTCAGCTTCTAATATTGGGGTTCCAAAAGATAAAAACATAAGGCATACCTACTCAAGAATGTGAAAATACAGAAATACTCCAAATACATTGATATCATGATCTCTATTCTAGCTTCTCCCAATTTTTGTTCTTCTACAACATAACAGCTAACTTTCCTTTTTACCTTGTCAGCTGCTGCAAGCAGATCGTCAGCCATTTTGTCAAGATTAGGTGCCTTTCCCGTATAAATGAAACACATCATTTCTTTGAAAACTTCAGGTTCCACATCATTGATTTCAACTCGATTCTGTACCAAAGAGGAGAGGAAGATTATTCTTCTGAGGCAAGATAAACCTTTCTTAGCCTAAATCTCTCCTTCAGCAATAATAATTCTCTGTAAGTAGGGGTGCAAACCTATTTATTTGTATTTATATTACTGCTTATTTTATTTAGTGACTCTGGACATCTCCAAACCTTTCAGGTTGATGGCTGCATTAGGCGAATGGCAAGGATTGCCCTTCAAAAAGATAAGTTAAGGTTAAGAAAACAGGTTAAATTTGATTTTATAAATCTTATTAAAAGTCAAATAACTGTTAATTTGAGTGTAAAAATATTTAATACTTTTCTCATTATATCACTGAAAAAAATTGATGGCAAATTTTGGAATATTCTATGTGTAAGATTTAAGGGCCTGTATTTATAGAGCCTGCTGTAAACTATATGCAAACATAGGTTAAGAATCATGCATCCCTTATAGCTCTACAAGAAGACAAACTACAAATTCTTCCTTAGCCTGTTTTTTCTACCAAGTTTACCTGTAATAAAAGAAATAGCTAGCAATGGATGTTGTAGAATCATTCTAAGCAGAAGAGCAGCTTTTTTCCCAAAGTCAACTTTGAAAAGGGAGATGAGCAGCATATAAATTTAATTAATAAACAAAATAAGTACATTTCCAATTATTTAGCTGCTATTTTAAATAATTATTTACATTTTTTCCCTTTCTCAATTTCCTCAAGAGTTTACACCATAAATTATAATATGCTTATCTCTACCATATCCTATATATAAAACAAGTAAGGTGTAACGTTTATATATTTATTTGGACCCTGACTCTATTCAGTTTCACTAAGACTACAATCTCAGATTAGCATCCAGTGCTTCAGATCTAACTGCTGGAAATAAAGAACTTAAAATCAATTGCCCAATAACACTGACAATTTGTTTTCATGGGCAATGATGGATCTCTTGCCAACCTACTATAGAAAACTAACTATCCAAAGTGCAATCTAGATTCATATCTCTTCTCTGTTCTCAGAGCAAAATGCCTTGTCAACCTTGACACATTAACAAGACTATATTTCATTGAGCCTCTCTTGTCTGAGCAGGACCTTTGTGGTTTGAGGTCAAAAGTTTGCAATACTTTTCAGTTATTAGCTAAGGTTTGCCTCAGCAATATCTTCTGTCTGGGCAGCTCTTCTTCGCGACTTACCTTTTTACTCTCTTCCATCTCATGTTCAAACATTGCGCTGAAAACTGGAGAACGAGCTGTATGCATGGTAAATTGGCATAAGGTAAAATGGAAAAAAAACACCATTTTTAAAATGTGAAACAGATACTCTTTCTTTCTAGAGAGGAACCGATATATATCATCAGTACTTGCAAATTCAAGTAATGTATAAAATGGACAAGTAAAAAATAAATTGTATGCTCACAAGAGAATCAAATCAAAAATTCTGCCCAAGGGAATATGCATATGCTTTCCCAACAATTTATTCCCACCTATGCAATGAGATAAGATAAACTCTGGAATGCAACTAATTCAATTTTCAGGTTTCCTCAATTCCATTTCTTCTTACTACAATATTAGAGGTCCTTTGCCATGGTTTTTTTGTTGTGGTGTGCTTATCACCACAGAATATAAAGGCTTTGAGTACTAAATTAAGAAATAATTAAACACAATAAACATTCATATATACTGTACCACAGCAGTCCCCAACCTTTACGGCTTGTGGCCCAGGGGGTGAGAGATGGGAACTGGGCCAAGCGAGTTGGCATGCACAAGTGCCTGTTGGCCTGCTGCTCATGCAAGTTGAGCTGCTTGTGTGCATGCACGCTCCAGCCAGCCACTCACATGCCCAATTCCAAATAGACCATAGCGCAATAGTCAGCTGTGACCTGAGGGTTGGGGACCTTTGCTGTGATAGATAGAAATGGATTCTCAATCTACATAAATATGGAACACCTATTTTTCAAAATCCATTGTTATTTTGCAGCAACAAAGATAAATTCTATATAGAACCAAGAAATCTTCTAAACTACAAAACCTTAATCTTTTGATCTGTGGAATTTCAGAAGAATTTAAAATACATTTTATCTTTAGGTTATGATCATTCATTTGATGACTGTTTCAAGTTATGTAAGTACAAATGATAGTTATGGCCAGTTCATAAAACTGAAGTGCATGTGTCATTACATGATCAAAATTTGAGTGCTTGGAAGCCTGCCCACACTTATGACTATCAAACTTGCAGCATCACATTGCCGTGATGTTTTGCAACGTTTTTACCCTTCATGGAGCCAGGGTGGGAGTGGCCTGTGCATGATGCATCCGGCCTGCGGGATGCTACACTCCTGCTATAGGGGCACCAACTCCCACCACCCACATCCCTCTCATTAGTAAGCCCTATACTCCATGCTCTCTATAGTCCTGCATTCGGCCACCCACAGCTGAATTTTGCTGCTACTGAGCTGACCAATCATGCCTGGCTGGCCTTTGGCAAAGCAAGTGTTGGACACATGAGGCCCTCGTCTTGTGGTCACAAATTGTAGTTTCTTCATGAGTCCTATTCTTTCCAGTTCAATTACATCCAATTCTCAGAAACTGCTGGACAAGTCCCTGCAGTTTTCCAGGCAAGGTTTTTCAGACGTGGTTACCATTGCCTTCTACTTAGGGTTGAGAGAAAGTGACTGGCCCAAGGTCAACCAGCTGGCTTTCTGCCCAAGGTGGGACTAGAATTCACTCATTTCTAACCTGATGCCTTAACCACTGTAACAAATTGCAGTCAATACCAACCTGCTAATATGGCTTTGTGAGCTTGAAACTCTTGGCCTGCTACACACAGGGAGCAATCTGTGAAGCGAGAGTTTTCCCAGAGGCCTCCCAACTCATCAGCCAAGCGGCATTCAGGTACCTTCACCATGTTCATGGAATTCTGGCCGGAGATATTGACAGAGTCCTGTACTACACTCACCTGCAAGGAAGCATAGAAGCCCATGCTCTTTATAAACATACTGGTAATAGCAGCAAAAAATCTAGAAGAACTTAGCAAAAATAACCACCCCGTCAACAACAAATTCCAGAGCGATACAGACCTTTTTGTAAGAGAACCCAGTAACACACAGGAAAAGTTTGAGTTTTCCTACCCCACTCTCCAAACCATTGTCTATATGCAAGTTCACCACACTGAAATGAAGACAGATTATCAACTACTTCAAGGCAGTATATGAAACAAATCTATACATTCATACAACATTGGGCAAAACTCAAAGATAGCACAGAAAACCTATTTTATTGGTTTTCAACAACATATTCAGTTTGCTATAATCCCTCTCTGCCTTTCCAACAGAAGATCTATTGTTTTGTGTACCCCACCCCTAAATGGTTACTTAATAAATAGGGGATTGGTTCACATAATGCACTAGGTTAGGAAAAATGGGTTCATGTAATTTATGGTTCAGGGTGTTGTGAGAACCTACCTGTTTATCAATTTGTGTGAAAAAGCCTTTCTATTTAAGCCACAATATAATCTATATGAGCAGAGTATATGGAGAATGTAACGATTTCTGCTGCAATCCTGGATTTAGAATGTTGTACAAATCTAAATGGTAAACTATCATGTGTGCAGATAAATGAAAATTCATTTTTATGCTAGTTTGGGCCAAATCTCCCAAATGATTGATCAGATGTGGATGTGCATATCTTAAAATTGTTCTCTATTAGGCAGCAAGTGAATATACTATAACAACAGGCTGTGCTTATCACTAGTCACATGCCTTTCTGAGCTGGCATAGCATCTGATGGTCCCCAAGAAAGAACAAAACCCAGGCTCCAGTAATGGAACACAGATTCACAAATTAAAAGCAAATTTATTTTTTAATATACAGAGAAAAAAATACTATCTCTAATCAAATAAAAAATCCATCTAGTCTGGCAGATTATGTTGCAGAATATTTGATCTGTAGGAAGAACAAACTCAAAGCTAGGGGAAAAAAACCTGTTTTCCAACTGCCACTTCTCAGCCCAAAGTGTTCAGAAAAGGAAAGTGCCATTGTGACAGTTAGTTGTGAATGTATAACTATTAAGAAAACTGAAATCAATCTGATAGATGGTTCTTGAAAAAAGTTCCTCCTTGGCAAAAGCAACTGGGACAAGAATTTCTCCAAGTAATGCAATTCTAAAGTGCAAATCACATAAATGCATTGCTTAGCAAAGGCAATCCCAATAGTCCCTTATTATTTTAATTTAAAGTCACTTCCATGATTTTAGGACGATATCCACATAGTTTCCTTACAGCAATGTGGAAATGGCTTGCCACTGTATTCTTCCAGGATATTTTTTCATTTTCCTTAGATTGGCATTACCTGAAGAGTCCCTTCAAGTGCAAATCAGATCTGACCAACAAAGTTTCTGATGCAAGTCTTTGTTTTTCTTTACTGGTTGAAGTTGGGGAAATATAATTATTAGTGAAAGTATTAAAGGAGCAATTTATGTTTAACTAAACATAAATGGCTTGCTTAGTCCTTCTTGTGTAAACTTCTGTCAGCCTTGGAAGCCATATTAGCACCAGAAGCTTCCACACTCCCACATTCTTGAGTGTGTGAAGTTGGAAGGGGGGATTTCATGGAGTGTATATGATTAGACATAATAGTATTCTTCTTTAAAGTCAAGGTCATATTATTCCTGCACCTGGCTGAGGAGTAATAGACTGGATTTCTCAAGTTGGAACAGATGGTGATTGGGCATGTGATATAATGATGGGTTCAGCGGGTGGATTTGTAATTTTTTACTACTGGAGGAAAACCTGGGAACTTTCAGATTCGGGTTTTCCCAGATGTGCCAGTATAACTACTCTAATAAAAGGAAACTGAGAAAATGCCTGTCTCAGAGCTTTTAATTGGAGTTGGGTTTTTCTAGAAAGCTGACACTCTGTGTACCACAGTGGTGTAACTATCTTAATTTTCTTAGTTTTGATTTTCACACAAATCTAGACAAAATTCAGCACTGAAAGGATGGTGATTCCAAATAAAAGTTTATATGTATTCAAATTTCTATCATCAAAATCCATGGAAATTAAAAGCCTGTGATTTTAGTTGGATTGCATCCAGTTATCTCTGCATTCATATTGTAGCAGTCCTTACTACCTATTAAACAAAGGGATATGTGGGATACTAAAATTCTGATTCTTTCCTCTTTGACATGGTAGCCCGATCCCTCTGCATGCACAAGGGATCCAGGTGGTAAAAACGAAATGTCAAGCAAATGCAGAGAAAACAGCCTTCTATTTTGTCTGCAGGCAGGCGGTTGAGTCAGTGAACAATCTATGAGCCAGGGATTTAATAAAGTAACAAACCTTTCTCCAGCACGAAATAGTTTAAAGGAAACAAGGCATTCATATAGTTCTTACTTCACTAAGTCTTGTCATTGAGTCTTCAGAGCAAGTTAGCAGAGCAGTAACCAACTCAAAAACATATTTCCCCTAAACAGTTCGGGGATCCTCCAGCAAGAAAGAATAAGCTGAATATATGGTGTAACACCTACTTACGTGACCAAAACCACCTTAGCAGCAACGATCAGTCAATGCAAGTTTTTTCTGTCTGTCAATCAAGTCTATATTTTTAAATGGTCAAAAAATGCTTAAGACAAGGGTTTGGCTTTTTTACCTTTGAACATTACCTGGAAACTGTAGCAGGTACAAAATACAGCAACAGCAAGCTAATGGGTAAGAACTACCATGCCATATCATGTCAGTTTTGTAAGGGATGACTTGGTTACCAATAGATTTCAAAATTCAAATTCCATATACTGGTTATAACCTGTAAACCCCATAATGTTGTGGCACCTAGGAATTTCAAGAACCAACTCATCCAGAAGAATTGATCCATCCAAAGCTTCAGCCATGATGGAGATATTTGAAGTTCCACCCCATAAAGACCAACTTTATGATGAACAAGTTAGATTTGTGATAGAAGCCAAGGCAACAAAACTATTTTTATGAACACTTTCCCAAATGAAACCATGAGGTCCTATATCAGGAGTCTCCAAATTTGGCAACTTTAAGACTTTGTGGACTTCAACCTTCAGAATTGCCTAGCCAGTATGACTAGCTGAGGAATTCTAGGAGTTGAAGTCCACAAATCTTAAAGTTGCCAAGTTTGGAGAACCCTGTTCTACATCTTTCCTTACCTCACAAAAGAGAGTGAGTTTGTCATCTGGAAGGAGCCCATTTGCCTCATCTAGAAGAAAATCTCTTCTGATAAACTTCTTGAATCCCCAGTCTTTGCCTTGCACAAAGCGATAGGCTCTCTGACTCTCTGGAAACATAAAAAAGGGGTTGGAATTTAAAAAAAAAAGAATAAAGAAAAAGAAATTTAAAGACACACAAACAGAAGTATTTATTTTCTGCTCTATTTGGGTATGAGTCAAATATAAGTACCCAATTACTAGCTATGCATACCCATTGCTTTTGTTTCTTCTCCTTTTGCATTCAAAATAGAGAACTTGAATTTGGCTCGGACTTCGCTTTTCGGGCAGCTGACCAGTAACAGATAGAGTGAAAGATAATCTTTACTTTCTTCATCCAAGCCCTTTGGGTTCACACGCAAACACCTACAAAAGCAGAAAAATCACATTCATTCTCTCTATATAAATGATTCAACTACAGTGAAGCAACTTTCTATCTACATATTTTCTTTTTAAAAATTGTATCATGAATGATAGTCTGTTTTATTCTGCTTATTATATTTTAGTCTGCATTTACTACAGACTATTAAGCAATGAAAATTTGATTTCTTGTAGATGATCATAGGAAATTGCTAAGCCACACTTACAAATGGGTAACTAAAATTCAATAGTAAATGCAACCCTTTCTTTTCTCAACGGTTTCAATCCAGTCTTTTACTATCGCATTTTTACAGGTGACAGTTCTGAAAGGTAGCATTAGTAAATTCAGCTATGGCTGTAAATGAATATGAAGCCAAAGTGTAACTCTAAATCTAGCTTTGAGAACTACGTAATAATAAACAAACCTTCTGCTGTTCCCTATCTGGAATTTAACTGGTCCTTACCATTTCAATTTATCATTAGCTCCTGATGAAAATGTTGAACTTTTGATGACCTCACCCATTTCCTCTCGACAAAAGCTGAAGTTATTGATGGTCCACATGTAGGAAAATTTGACCACTTTAATCTTTAAAAAGAATGGGAGAGAAGGGAAGTATTGGCTAGAAATTTACATACATTGTTATAAAAAACAAGATCACCAAAAATAATCCCAATATTTGAGAATGAAGGAAAAATAAATTTAAAACTCTATCCTCTTGAAATATTACAAGTACCTCTTCAAGAAACTGAAACTTCTTGTTTATCAAAGGCTTTCTACAATATTTCTATCCTTGTCCCTCTCCATCAGAAGTCTGGAGGAAAATTTATAGGGTTATTAAGTTAGTATATTTGGCCTGCACCAATTTATTTGAAAAGGTAGGAGTATGCCTGCTTTGAGAAAAAAATTGCTGCTACTGAATTATTTGCAGTAGCCCTTTTTAATGACCTTTGATTTAGTGACTTCAAATTTATCATGGTGCTCCTTATACTTGCAGCCATCAGTCCCCATGGTCACTTGACTGCAATTTCAGGTACCTGGTAACCAGATTACAATTATGATAATCACAGTATCACATGATCAGTATCACAAAGTTACATGATCACCCATTGCAATCTTCACTACCAGCTTCCAACAAGGACTAGTTTGTCCCATCTCTATGGGACACTGATGCCATGTGGGTTTTACCTAATGACAGCAATTGGGACTGTCATCATAGTCGATGGGGTCAGATGTAGATGCATTTTACATGTCTTAACAGGGTTACCAGTCCCTATTATTTTCAGTAAGCAAGGACTACCTGTACTTGCATTCACGTGGAGTACAATTTGATGTGTTTCATATATTTGTTAAACTTTGTGCTAAGGTTGTATTAAGAGGAGTTCTGATTACAATGATTATTAATATGTGCACAAAGAATTACAGCATAACAATTGCTGACATAACTATAGGTAGTCCTCAACTTATGATCACAATTGAGCCCAAACTTTCTATTGTTAAGTGCGATAGTTAAGTGAGTTTGTCCTATTTTATGACCTTTCTTGCTAGTTATTAAATGAATCATTGCAGGTATTAAATTAGTAACATGGTTGTTAAATGAATCTTGCTTCCCCATTGACTTTGCTATGACTGCAGGACACTGCAACTGTCATAAATATGAGTCAGTTGTCAAACGTTTGAATTTTGATGGTGTAACTATGAGGATGCTGCAACAGTCATAAGTGTGAAAAATGGTAAGGCATTTTTTCAGTGCTGTTATAACTTTGGTCACTAAATGAACTGTTGTAAGTTGAGGACTATCTGTATGTATTTTTAATGCTAGGCATAGTAAATATAGTAAATGTCAATTATAAGAGCAAATATAAAAAGAAAACCTATCAGATTGGACCTTTCCTGTTTCAGTACAAAGTACATTTGTGTAATATTTCAGTTATGAAGCCCACAAGTTGCTATCTAAAACAAAGATGGGCACAAAATGTTATTAATCTGATCCCCATTTGATTTTGTTGGGTGGATGTCTTAGTTATTCTAAATCTAATATTGTTGGAAAAGCAAAAACAACAAAAATAAGTTTCATGCTCTGCAAGTCTGTTTTTTCATGGCAGTATATATATTAGGACCATCACCAAAACCTAACATAGCTTCTAGTTGACCAGATAGTTACCATCTATCCTTGAGAAGTCTGGCAAGAACAATATTATGAATTTGGGAGTTCCACACTTTCCAATTACAATTATTATACAAATTACAATTATGTACAAATATTAAAATGTATCAAGTTCAGTTATTTTGAAAAGATGTCTCTCTGTAAAACACTTGCTTGAATCCAATTCAGAGAGGAAAATAAATGCCAGTTGATCTACAGTCACTAGTTAATATTTCAAAGTGCAGGCATACTTGAGTGTAACACCAGCTCTCTGCAACAGGTCCGCTTGACATCTCTGCCGGAGGAGGAGGACTCGGTACCCTTGACATCGCCAGCTTGGAGATCAGATAGGATTTCACAGGTTAAAGAATTATGTGTATGTAATCTTCACTCTAATTGCACAGGAAGTGGGAGGGGGAAAAGAAAGAGTTTAAATATGTAGCAATTTCTGTTCATTTCTGTTTGCACAGCAAGATACCAAAATTAGTTTATGGTGTTTCAGTTGTGCAATACCTAATCACCTCCTTCTTGCTGTGTTTTTGTATGAAATGTACACTTCATTCTATACATGCCATGCCAAATTGTTACACTTAATGAAATATCATTGGTTGTTCCTTAGGCTTTGGATATTTTCCAATTTCCAAGTCCCTAAGATTTTCATCTAACTTACTTCTATGCCATATTTACCATCCTCATTTAAAGAAAAAAAAAGTTATTATCCAAATAATACCATTAGAACTGAGGGCCAGGCAGTCAATTAATTGCCAAAGTTGAGATAGAGATTTTTTTAAAGGAAGTGTCGCTCTCACTGGAGAATGATGGATATAGTAAAATGAATGTAGAATTGGTAGTGACAAAGGACGGAGTGCTTTCATCCACCCTTGGTCACTACCCATGTCTTTCTCAATTCTTCACAAATGATGGCAACTTTTCTTCCCTTCAGTTATCAATTTTCTTATCCTTCCATTATCAAATTCCCAACTCTCCATTATTAAATTCAGAATTATCTTCTTTTGTTACAGGTACTTCCATGATGTAAATCTATGACAGGAGGGAAAACACTGCAGTATTTACTCTGACACATTAGAGGTCAGAGTGACTCGGCCTTAAAAATGAAGCGATAAGAGATTCAGCAAGATTGCACAGTGTAATTCATTAACTGAACATGGAACGCAGAATAATAGCATTGAAAGGAACTTTGGAGGTCTTCTAGTCCAACCCCCTGCTCTAGCGGGAGACCCTACACCATTCCAGACAAATGGCTGCCCAGTATCTTCTTGGAAAACTCCAGTGATGAAGCACGTACAACTTCCAGAGGTAAGCAATTTTACTGATTGTATAACCAGTCAGAAATAAGCACCTGAGGGCAAGCCCCCTCTTCCCAGTAACAGGCCCTCAAATATTGGAAGATTGCTATCGTATCACCTCTAGTTTTTCTCTTCATCAGACTAGACATACCTAATTCTCTTAGTTGTTCATCATACAATTTAGCCTCCAGATCCCTTATCATCTTTGTTACTCATCTCTGTACTCTTTCTAGAGTCTTAACCTCTTTTTTAAAGAAGAAAATAATTTGAAGAAAAAAATATGAATAAAATGAGTTTTGGAGCACATAAATGTTGGGTAAAAGGCTATCAAAATAATTTGAAGAAAAAAAATATGAACAAAATGAGTTTTGGAGCACATAAATGTTAGGTAAAAGGCTATCCTTCCTATGTATATATGACAGCATGTAGGTTGATATTTCCAATGACCAAGCGATCATCAGAAAGACTTTTGACATCAATAACAGCTTAATAATGTTCAATATATACTGAAAACAAAATGAAGTTGACTTGAGCATATGGGACATAATTATAGAGTACTGCAGTGATCACTGAAATTTTGGCCCACATCATAGCTTAGACTGGTTATTACAGTTAGAGGCATTCAGAAATAACTGTTCCTTCAACTTTCTTGTATGCCAAAGCAAAAATAAAAATAAAAATCAATGTTACATCACAAAACCTAAAATTGTTACCATTACCATATTATTCAATATTAACATAACCCATAGCTAAACAAAATGAAATAATTTGGTTTCGTAAATCAGAGCTGGGTGACATTTGAGGCCATTAACCTCAGTGCTGCTGTTGCCAAAAAGGCCATGCAGTCCTAGGTGCATCAACAGAGAGAAAGTTTCACAATCACACTTTACACTGGTGAGACCACATTTGGAATACTGTGCTTAAAAAAAACCCTGAATATTATCTACTATCCTCTCAGGTGATATTACCATATCATTTCCAGGTAAAGTTCTTGGTCTCAAATATCACCCAGCTCTGATTTATGAAACCAAATTATTTCATTCCATTTAGCCATGGGTTATGTCAATATTGAATAATATGGCAATGATAACAATTTTAGATTTACTTCCTTTGTCATGTAACATGTAGCAAGCACACAAAACACTTCCAGTTATTGCTGAATGCTTCTGACTAAAATGATAACCACTGTGTGGACAAAGATTTTTTTTAAGTTTTCAAGAGTTTATGGAGACCAGTGGGATTTAATACAATAGTTACATTAAGCCAATTAGAGGCCAAACACCTATACAGTAACCCATTTTTAAAAAGTGAATTTCGCATCCCAGTAAAGCATAACCCAATGTCTAAAATTTCAGGAGGAAATTTTAGGAAATCCTGAGATAATTTAAAAAAAAAAAAAAGGAATAGAACCACATCAGAGTATGGGTGGCCACTTCTTTTATAAAGGAACCTTATGCAAAGCTCTTTCCATCCACCCGAAGTGGCAGCACATTTTATAGCTGTGTAAATTGAACGAATGCAAAATGAGTCCTCTTTGGTTGAAGATTGATTTTAATAGGCTAATTTAGGAGCTTTGCCAGTTCCTACTGCATCTATAGTATACCCATGTGTACCATCAACCATATTTGTGAGAACTCACTGCGTAGTGCAGAAAAAAACGTAGGCAAAGGGAAAACGTTGAATTCTAGCAGATGAGAGAGTTGACCGGCAGATAGCTAAATGAACTAAACAGAAATACAGTTTTTCTGAGAGGAGAAATTAATGCAGCACTATAAATAATAAAGAAAAAGGTTATTTAAACGACCTGCAATCATTCTTCAACATTTTCTAACCTTGCAACATACATTTCTAATGGTTCGGCTCTATGGGGGGGGGGGGGGGAGAGAGAGACATACAGTGGAAGGTAACAACAGGGCTACTACCTTGGGAGTACGTGATATCTGTTCCAGTTAGAAGGTGAATGAGAAAAAGCGTGGCTGGATTCACGCATTTTAGATGTGAGCCCAGCCTCCCACTCCCCATACGCACACTTTTGAAAAGTCTGCACAGACAAAAAAAAAAAAAAAAGTTTGTTCCCTTGTATAGCATCTGGTAAGATATGCATATCTACCAGCCCCGGCAAACTCTAAAATTAAAAAAAAATCAAGAATACTGCCACTAACATCAAAAGTGTGAGAATTAAGTTAAGAAAAACAGATGTTACCACAGAATTGTGCTGGAAAATGGGGGAGGAAAGAGAAGAGAAATAAATATTGCTTTTCAAAGCAATATTTCTGCCCCCTCCGAACGTGGAGGGGGAGGCAGGAAAGGAAATTCTTTTAACCTTTTCCAATATAATTTCAACACTTTCTATTTTGCCTGACTTACATAAAACTCATCTTTTTCTAAATAGTAAAAAATATCCTAAGCACTTTAAATAACAGCTATATGACTTTTACCTCCCCTTAAAAGTTTCATTATCAAAAAGGCTGGCTACACAGTCAACATTTTTACAATTTTCAAGACATAAAATAGACAATGCAACAATTCAGAATATTAACCAGGATAGGCTTTACATAACTGTATTAATTTTAAATCTTAAAGCAATCCCCATTAATTCTCTATGCTAACAGAAGGTAGAACTATACAAACCTTAACCACGTGTCGCTTTTCCAACAACTTTCGTCTTCTAACTGTGATCTGTGGCTGTCTTATATCTAAGTCCCATGTGATTGATTCACTTTCTCTCATTTATGCCTTGACTAGCCTATCATTTCAGAGGTCAGTGAAAGAGTACCGCCCCTTTGCCTTATTTCTGTGCCACTCCCCCCCACCCGCCTATTCAAGGACAGGAATTATTAGTATCTAAGTTTGCTATCTCCAGGTGTTTATAACAACCTTGGGAGTCAGTGTCTCATACACATTCAGAGTGATTTAATTTCTACATCCATATGAGAGAGGCTACAGCAAGGATGAATAACAGGTGTTTTTCCAATTATTGCTGAACTCCCAGAAGCCCAGCCAGCAATGATGAGGAATGAGGCTAGCTGTATTTCAGCAACATCTGGACTACAAAGAAGATACAAAGGCATACATTACACAACAATTACACAGTTTAATGTGGGTTGTTCAGTTCTGGTCTCAATGGTTATGTGAACTCAACATTGTAGCTTGTAATGTGTGATTTAAAACTTAATGTGCAGCCTGAACTCATCTGATTAAGTTTATTCAATAAACCATAAATGAAGCATAGATTAGCATAACATGTAAACTTACTGAGATATACTTTCATATGATGGCACCACAGCATTTATTCTCTGCTTTTTGAGCCAAAATGTTTAACAGAAGAAACTGCTGGATAAATCAAGCATTCTTTATTCTACATTGGTTTAGTGGATGACTCTAAAAAGCTCATAAGAATGGATTGGAGTGTAATAACTCTCTTCTACTGTTGCTTCCCTGCTACAAGTTTTTAAGACACTGTGTGGATTCAACAAATAGTAAAGAAACATAAATGATAGTAACCACTGATAGCTTGATGCTCCATAAACATGTCCACTTCCTTTTAAAAACTTTTCAAATTGGTTGCTACTGTAATTGCTGGCAATGGATTCCAGAGTTTAACAATGAATTGCATGGGGGAAAATTTTCTGTAGTTCTTATAACAGCTCATATTCACTTCAAACAGATAACCTCAAGTTCTAATGATGTAAGAGCAGAAGAATCTTTCACATTAACCATTCTTTGAATATTTTGTACCTGTTGTATCGCTCATTATGCTCTTTTAAAGTTAAACAATGTATTTCCTTGTATAGAACTATTTCATCTCCTAATCATTTTAATTGCCTTTTTTTTGCAACTTTACTAGCTCTGTAGCATAATACTACATATATACTACATATATATTATTTTGATACTTTAATGAATTGTCCGTTGTGCTTCAAACCTCATTCTTGATCAATTATTGTCAGCTGTCAATTGCATGTGGGTATCTGCCCTCTTATCCCAGGAAATTGCTAAGGAATCTATGATAAGAATACTTCATCGGAATATTTTTAAAAATCAAAATATTTTGCATTTGCTAGGTCATCCTTGTTTAAATGCTTGTTGGTG